AGATATATCTATATATATATAGATATATCTATATATATATCTATATATATATAGATATATATATATATAGATATATAGATATATCTATATACATTCTTCCCAAAAATAAGGTGTTGGATATGCAAAGCAAGCACTTATCTGCTCTTTGTAAAGATTTGATTACAGAATTAAGGAGGGACTAAATGTGATTAGCTCTAAGCAGCTGTGTGGTTAGCCTCAATGGATTAGCTGCACCATCTTCATCAAAACTCTCTCCATCTGCACTCCAATCATCTATCTTGTTTTCCGTTCCAATGCTACAGTCCCTTTAGTTGCCTGGCACCCTCTTTTTTGCTCCATTTCTACAATCATCCAAGAACCAACATGATATCTCTTCATTTTTTGGGAGCTTTCTATATCATGTTGATTTGTGATCTTATGATATCATTTTGGGCATTAAAGGATCTACTGATTAAAGGAAAAGAAAAAGAAAAAAAGTAAAATGGTCTATGTAGCAATTCAATGCACTATTAATTGTTCACATGCTTTGCCTTATCATACATGTATGTCACCGACTGAACTAGGATTTATAAATTAACCAACATAATTTCCACTTAATAAAGTAACACTTTTACTACAGTTGGGGTTGAAAAGATAAAATAACTGCTGATTTAAGGGGTTTTAGGTGGGAGTTTTAACCCCTATTTTAGTGTATAAATAGAAGTTTTCTATCCTAGAAAGAAACATTGTTTTGCAGTATAAACATGAAAATACCTGGAAGTAAACATTTTACACCAAAATGTTCATTATATTATAGTAACTGTAAATGTATATATATTTATATATTTTAAATAAGGAAGAGAGTAAAATCATATGATATATAACAGGCAGTTATACCAAGAGTCTGTCCCTCATGACACCATAACCAGTGTATGAACTGGAACTAAAGACACCAACAGAGGGAGCTCCTGTGCTTCAATCCGGTGGAGTGTCTGAATCTAAAGCATGACATCATAGTGAAACATCATAACAACCTATTTTTATTTTACAAGAGCCTGTCCAGTTTCTCCACACATGTGATGTGGTGAGCCAGCATGCAGGGGGAAAACGTTGTAAAGGAAAAAGAGCACATAGTGGCTCTTGTGTTCTTCAACTTCAGGAAATGAAATCTTATGGAGAATCACTCTGCACCTTCTGCAGGTCATATAAACAGAGCCACGAGTCTCTCCATCCAGACTGATGTCAGCTCTCAAATCTGGTGTCCCTTTAAAATCCAATCAGTCTCAAAACAAAGAAGCAATTGAGAGAACTGAGTGTCAGACTAAGATTATGTCCACGTGTAATACCTCAGTGAGCCTAATCTGAGACTTCACAAGCAGATGGCTCACTAACCAACAACAGGCCAGGTCTGTGAGACAGAGCACCAGCAAGGAGGGGGTTAACATATCCATTTTGAAGATGAGATCAGATGCTGGGTTCATTCAGTAATATCCCAACCCTCACCAACACAAACTCACAAACAAAGTGCTCACTAGTTTAAGTTTTAAGAATATAATGGAAATGAATTTGCTTAAAGGTAGGGTAGGTAATTTTGGAGAAACCAGCTCAAGTGGGCTAGAATTTGAAAATACACAGCCGGAAGAAATCTGCTACTTCCTTACAGAGCCCCTCCTCCAACACACACAAACGCGCACATGACCAATGAGGGCACGAGATAAGTTTGTGCACAGATGGAAGGCTGACAGGCAGGTAGGCCATCCAATCATTTTAGCGGGTCAGCTCAGATGATTGGTCGTGCTTTTTACAGTACTACGGCTTCCACAGATTACATATTTTGAATGGATTTTTTGTCAAAGCACTTAAGATATTCATTGCTATCGGGATGTTAAGAGCATTCCATGGAATATAACAAAAAGTGTATCTCGAGCCGGTTTCTCAAACTTACCTACCCCACCTTTAAGCATTCATTTATTTTGGTTTGGTGCCTAACATGTTGAT